GGGGGTGGGGGGGTGGGGGTCATCAAGACGGAGCAAGGGCACGGGCATGGTAGCGGTGGGGTGGCGCGCGGAGCAAGTTTGGAGCGGAGAGAAGGGCGAGAGTTTGGAGTCCATCCCTAGATACTTTGCATGTGCCCTTTTGATAATAGCGTTGTCCTTACATTCAATGTTGATCTAGGATCCACTAAAAGCCTCTAAATTACAAATTGTAAGCTCCAAAGAACAACCTCTTGTAAGCACAAAAGGTAGGGGGCACCATTGATACTTTCATTTGTCGAATGGCCAAATTTGTGAAATAAAAATGAAAAATCATTAGTCCTCTTAACTAACTTGTCATTAGTCACCAACCCCAATAACAGGTAAGACGTTTTAGAGAAGGTACAAGTATTTCCCTTTAGAGAATGTAAAATAAATGGGTAAGACGTTTGAGATACTAATAGTACTCCCTCCGTCCCAAAATTCTTGCCTTAGATTTGCATACATATGGATGTATCTAGTCACATCTTAGTATTAGATACATTCATATCTAGATAAATTTAAGACAAGAATTTTGGAACAGAGGGAGTAGTATTGACTACTAAGACCACTTACAATTTTATGTACATTGGGCATCATTTATTCAAAAAGATTAACATGTTTGAAATTCTAATAAAAGTATTGAGACTGCTTGCAATTTATTGTATGGATAAAGTTTAGTTTAGTTTCTACAAATACCGGCTTCAGCGTGCTAAGTATGTTTCTAGTTTATATAAAGACTAAATAACCTGTTTAAAATCAATCAAGTTTTAGTTTTGTCCTAAATCAACCATTTAATATAGGTTTGACTTTTTTCGCGGAGAAAGTTTGACTACATACATAGAAAGAATAAATCAACATATGTGACACGAAATTAGATTTATTAGATTCACTATATTTTTATCTGGGTTTTTATCATTTTTGTACTACACATTTATTTATTTGATGTCATATATTAACACAAATTTCTAGAAATTTGATCAAATATAGAGAAATTGGTTTACAACAAACTTAGAACTTCTTTAGTTTGAAACGGAGGAGTAGGCGTCATCAAACTCTAGTCGGCTGTATGCCCCCATATGTATACCAGTATAAGAATATGCAAATAGAGATTTTGAAAATTTAGCAGATTTTACAAATATTATTATTTAAGGACTGTTAAAAAATACAACTCACTTTGATCCATATTAATTGACGCTGCTTTACAAAAATTTAGCAGATTTACAAATATAGCAAAATGGGTCAAAAACAACTTAAAAGAGGCGCGTACGGAGTAATACGTTTCCAAGGGGGCAAAGCGCCAATTGAGTTATAAACCCTTGAACCCGCAAAAAAAAAGAGTTATAAACCCTTCGAAACTACTGTGTGTGTTCTGTCCGACCCTATACGATGCCTAATTGTGTTAAAAAAAAGATGCCTAATCTAGCTAGTGGTGTGCTGCCGTTTGGATTAGGGCCCAATTCTTTTCAGGCAAGATTCTACAGAATCAGGATTCTGGAAAATTCTCCCAAAATCTGCTTCTCCCAGAATCTGTTGTTGAGTTCTTTTCAGAGATTGTAGCTTGAGATTCTAGAAAGTGTTGTGTGTTGAAATGTCTGTACTATCCTTAGACAGAATTTTTTTGATGAAATGTATTTTATCTATCAACAATAGCTAGCATCAATTCAAGCATTATTCAAGCATCAAGAAACAGAGAGATGCAAAAAGGAGGGCTCGCCGTGAGCGTCGGCGTCGAACTTTGCGGGACGGGGCTGAGGGCCGGGACGGACTGAGGGGCGAGGAGGAGCTGAGGAGGGAAGCTGGCCGGCGGGGGCGGCAACGGCTTGGCCTGGCCGGCGGC